TCTGACAATCAACTAGAAGATGATCCAGACCTTATTCAAAAAACCATAAACAAGTACTTCAAAAATATCCTACGAGTCAGAAACTTTGAACTTAATGATTTCCCTGAATGGAAAGAAATCTATACCTCCAAACCGATTAACCAAGAAATATATAGCAATTTCACAAACCCTTATATCTCTTCAGATGTTAAAGAAGCCATCCACAAGCTTCCGAAAAATAAAGTCCTGGAAAAGTCTGGAGTCAGCCATGATATTATTAAACTTATGGGGAACAAAGCGATTGCATATATGACAACGGTATTTAATCATATCTTACAATCCACCTCCATACCCAAGCAGTGGAAACAAACCATTGTCACGCTTATTCCAAAGAAAGTAGTTTGGAGTCATAAGCTTAGTAACACTAGACCTATCTTACTCGTTAACTCTACAAGAAAAATACTCACAGGACTAATCAACAAAAAACTAACCAAAATTCTCAAAGACAATAATATTTTATCAGAATTTAATTGTGCCGGCCTTCCTGGACAAAGCACGATGGAACCCTTAACCATTATACACTCAGCTCTGCATGCAACAAATGCTAACAATAAGGAATTTTGGTTTGCCTCTCTCGACACTGCCAAAGCATTTGACTCAGCTCCAATATCAGCAATAAAAAAATCATTAGAAAGAATCAACTGTCCTGAAAAAATTAACAATCTTCTTATCAATATCTTAAGCAACAGAGAAGTATCCATCAATACACTATTTGGAGCAACCAATCCATTCATTGTCAACAATGGTATAGAGCAAGGTGAAATACTATCACTAATTACTTGGATTATCTTTTATGACTCCTTGGTTACCAAACTATCACAGCATGACTCAGTTCGAGGATATGTGGCTCCCAACACACTCGCATATATGGATGATTTAGCACTCATCGCAGATTTCAAACAAAAAATGGAAAATTTTCTAAATGTGGCCAACCAATTTTTCACACTAAACAACATCACATGCAATAAAGACAAAACAAAAATAATTAATAATATTAAAGTGAAGCAAGGGATTCAAAATACTATCAAATTTGACAACCATTATATTCAAATTCTCAAACCATATGAAATTGTTAAATACCTTGAAACACTAATTTCTCCCAAAAATATTAACAAGGTTAACAGAAGAGCATTTCTATAGACGTCATTACAAATTATCAAAGAACTAGCTAAATACAATTGGAAAGGAGAAATTAAGTAACAAATCAATGACTGGATTATTATAGGAAAGTTCGAGTACTTTCTACTCTCCTCATTTCTTAACAAAACAATCCTTAGCATACTCCAAACCAAAATTAACAAACTAGTGAAGTCAGCATATAATATTTTATCAAAATGCTCCAATACAATTCTAATTAGCTGTAGCGGCCTCAACCTAACAGTACTAGAAGAAAGACAGAGAACTACCTTAATAGGAAACCTCATCTCCAAACTCTCTATTCCCTCCATTAGGAAATATATAATACAAGATATTCATACTATCCAAACAAAAGAGGCTATCTGGTTTTGCCCCATTTGCAACCCAGAGAAATTCAACCAGAAAAATTGGATACTATACACTGCAAAATCAGCCAAAAATCTCAAAATCCAAATTTGTTCAACAGAATGTTCATTTCATCTCGACAATGTGGAAAACTCAATTGGTTTTCTATTCACCAACATGCAATCACAACTTAAAAAGATAGCAATCAATACAACCAACGCTCTTAACATAAAGTTCATCAATCAACTATTAAAATATAATAACACCATCAAACTTTCCTGGCCACAACTTGCTACACATATAGGAAAAATTCGCTTGGGTCCAGAGCCTAATTGGTTCAAAACATTTGTAAATACTCAAAACCTTTCTGGAACCCATGGTCCAATTCCAAATCCTAAAACAACATTTTGGTTCCTGTACAACATAAATGCAATTGTCAAAACTCGCAAAAGATACACTTCGATAAACGAAAAAACACTACTCAGAGGCAAACATTTTACTATAGACCCTGACAATAATCTTACTAGATGTTCGGGCTGCCCGATTGGCACATCCTCTCATAGTTTCTGTTGGATATCATTCACGAGCATATTAGCCTCCACATTATGGGTTTCTTTTAACCTCTTCAACGGATTCAAATATTGCTTGCTCAATATAATCGATGAAGTTGTCAACTCACCTCCTAATAACAAACATATCCTTCAAGAAGTTAATATTTCTACTAATCATCCTCCCCAATCACTGCTACAAGATCTCAGCCTGCAGCAACACTACCATATTCAATCACACAAAAGTAACCTATTTATAAATGAAATTGAAATAAGACCACTCAACTTCTGCTTACCACTAGGCAACATTTTACTGGCAATTTTTGATATCGTTCAAGGAATCCCAGCTCACATCACCATCAAAATCAGAAGCAACAAAAAAATTCTTCAATCAGTACCCGAATACCCAAGAAGAATGGTCAAAATCAACTTTTTCTCGCTATCCCAGAGAATAAATCAAAGTATACAACAGAAATCCATAGAGATTATATATATCAAACCTAAATCCAGATCAATATCAACCAGAATCATTCAATAAAACAATCTCCTACTATACTTTTCTGAAAATCCTTTAATCAACAACACTTGCCTAGGCAGTAGCATCAGATGATGCAAGAAAATTTTCAGCATCACCAGAGACTATATGGTATGTGAAAGCTTCTCAGTCGTCCAAACATTCGGACGAACACATACCCCGCACGGTCTAAAAGTCATCAATCAATCCAACAAAAACATCAAAAAATTCCATAACAACAAGTACAGCACTCTAGTAGTCTTTAGAGTTAAACTGCTCTTGGGAACTCTCCCAACTCGTCTCATACTCCATCAACTATATCCTAACCAATATCCAGACACTCTATGTCCACAATGCGAGCTCCACACTGAAGACATTCAACATGTTTTCAAATGTTTGGAAGCACTACAAGCAATGGAACAAATCATAAAAACTATTAACCAAACACTCCATCCAGACAATAATCATAAATCAATCTCTCATATATGGCAAGCCGTCGAATTGTCGTGTGGAATCACAGACAAAATCTTCTCCACCTCAACCTCTACCAACTGGATCAAGGCAGCAATAAAATCTTTAATCCTGTTGCATGACCTAATTTGAAAACCACATTGCTTTACAATCAACACTTCACCTCTTACTGAAATCAAGTGGAACCATGCGAAGTCACATAATTCAATCAACTCCACCAATCCAGAAGCCAAAAAAACCCCACAAACCGAAGACAACTCCAACAACCTGCAAGAAAACATTATCATTGACCTACCTTCTACTGTTGCTAATTCATTCATCCAATCTAAATATAATTACTCCAAATGTATTTATAGCTTAACAACTCTATCTGCTAATATTAACTCGATTTCCCCCAATGCTGAGTAAGGTATTCATAGCTGCTCAGTGCCATCTGGCAAGATATATTGTTTTAAACTTTCTTTTCAATATTAGTCGTATGGTTACTGTAGGCAAGCTAGCATTTAACTCATTGTACCAACACATGAGAGATGTTGTTTCTTTCAAAAAAAAAAAAAAGAGAAACTTATTTTTGAAATAAAATAGTAAATAGATTATTCAAACAATTTGAAATAAGATATTGTGATCAAAATTCATTTGATCCGTATTTAAGTAGTAGCTTTTAGAAGGAATTAGAGATTATATAGAACAGTCTATCATTCCAAGAATAATCTCTCACAAATATTCCAAGGTATGGCAAAGATTCCCAATGAATCTTTGTAACCAAAATGTGTTTAATAAAATAACTGTGTTTTATTAAGACACAAAATCAAGAAGTTGGATGATTACAAGAGTGAGTTATGAAGAACTGACTAAAAATTACATGGGCAGCAGCTATTTATATAGTGTTTTCTATCTTAAGCTATCTGGACTGCCTGATCTATGTGTCGCGATGTTATAATTTCATAGATCATAGGCCTTGTAGATCTTCTGGGCCTTCCAGGCTGTTTGGATTTTCTAGGCTGTCTGATCTACATTACACATGCTATAAATAAATATTTATACTATAATAAAATAATAAATCCTACTGCTAAAAATAAACTAATAATAGTTTGATAAAAATAAGTAAAAATAAAACTAAATTATCCATTCTATCACAATATAAGTAATCTGAAAATGGTTAAAAAGTAGAAAAAATCAGAATAGGTACTGTACAACTGTTAAATAAAAACCATTTTTATTTGATAAACTATTGCTTTGTAATTGATCCCAATGTCACATAGCTAACGGAATTGCTGTGTATAAAGTAACCAGTTAGAATGCAAAATTAACAGACTTATTTGCATCAGTGTTACAAACTCTGATCAAATTTATACACCTTTTTTAAGCAGAAACTGCCCTGATAGTTATACAGTGTAAGACAGATTGAAGTGACTGACTTGCTGTGATTTCATCACAATAATACAATCATTTTGGTTCTTGAAACATCACCATTTGATAAACAATATTCTTTAATAAGCTTCTTATAGGAAATGAACAATTATTTTCAAATTCAAATGACATATGTAAGAGTATACAGACATGTTCACACCTTGTAAAGAGTATATGATTGCACTTAAATCATTAATGAACTGTTGAGATATACTGTTACATTCATTTCTTGAAACAAAATAATCTTTAAATATCCTTTTTTATTTCAAACCACATAATCCCTTGGATCAATACTATTCTATAACTACTGTATATCTATAATATCCAACATGAACTACACTATCGAACAAATGCCATCCCTAATTCAAATCTCAACCCTGCTATTGTCGAAGACATAAAAGCCATACTTGATGAAGTGAATCCCTATTCTATTAACTTTGATATATTTTTAATTTCCTGAAGAAGATATCAAAAATCTATCGATACTTATTCATACAAACATTCCTGGACTTGATCAAAGGACCTATAATGTCCCAATGGCTCCTCAGATAGTGACAATCTGGATCAATGATGATATGCGTCCTGGTGCAATTCAGAAATGTGATATTCTATTATATACACGAATGAATCAGCTGATTCATATCTCTGAGTTCAGTGGGTGCTACAATTCTTTGACCTATCACTTCTATCACTTCTATTTCCTTATGGCAAGCAAAGATGGATTCCTCAACAAATACTATACAGAAATGTTCCTCTACCTAAGACAATTAACATTAACAAATATCCTAATAGTGGAGATAGTGATGATCTAATATATGAAAATAGCAATACCAGTACAACATGACACAGGAAATTTATAAGTGTGATGGAATATTATACATATCAGATTCAAATTTAGCTTTACTTCACCAATATACTTTTACATGCAGGATGACTTTTCTAACAATATGTGATTGATATATATGTCAAAATTGAATTGAATCACCTAAATTTCCACTGTCAAAATCAAAATAAGATCCGTAATGAACTATATCTGGGTATTCATGATACAGTCCTACATGGTGACAATAATCCAAGATGCATTGGTTGGAGAGTAATACTTCCTTTTACATTCATTGGGGGTCCTTGCAATATGGTGCAGAGTTATCAATATGCAATGGCCTTACTGCATATGGGCCAACCTAATTTATTTATCACCATAATATGTAACCCCAATTGGCCAGAAATTCAAGCCCTTATGCTGTCTGGACAACAAGCTCAAAATTAACCTGATATTATGAGTACGTTGTCATGTATTGTCTATAATAGTTAATTCATCAAATTAATTTTTTTTTATTCTCTCTAGTAGACCTTTTTGAGTATGAAGTTTTTGGAAAAATGATTGCATACACCTATGTCATTGAATTTCAGAAGTGGGGTCTTTTACATGCATAGATATTAGTTATACTACATCTGGAAGATAAACTGCAGGCTTCTAAGAATTATGACACTATTGTCTGTACTGAGATACCTAATCCAAATCAACTCTAGAACATATGCTGCAGTTGTTAGTAGCATGGTTTATGGATCATGCGGAAAACTCAATTCCAAAACACCATGTATGATTGATGATGGAACAAAACAAAAGCAATGCACAAAAAGATATTCTAAGCAATTTTAAAGTGAAACAATTCAAGAAGTAGACTCCTATCCTGTATATCGTCATCTGCAGGATGGTCATTATGTTAAAGTAAAAATGGAAAATCAAATAGTTCGATTAGATAACTGATGGATTGTTCCATACAACAAATTTCTTTATGTAAAGTATACCTGCCATATCAATGTAGAGATCTGTGCCAATATTAAGGTAATTAAATATTTATTTAAATACATCTATAAAGGTCATAACAGAGCAATGATTGAAATCACTGATAAACATCAGCATAATAAAGCACAAGATCAGCCAGTTATAATTAATGAAATTAGAAACTTTGTTGAAGCCCATTGGGTCTCAGCCTCAAAAGCCATCTGGAGGATCCTAGGATTCAGTATAAGTAGGATGAACCCTGCTAATATACACTTACAAGTATACCTTTCTAATTAACAAAGAGTCATCTTTAATGAAAACATGAATCTAGAAGAAGTGATTGTGGCTAACAAGAATCAACAAACAACTCTAATCAAATACTTTAAAATGAATATTCAAGATCCAGATGCAAGGAATCTAGGGCTCTAAAAAGTACCAAACTGGTATTGAAATGGTACTGATCTATAGTAAATTTAATATATGGATTGTGACCTACTTATATGATTTTATAATAAATTTAAGTATCGAACTGATATTGAAGTGGTATTGAAGTGGTATTATTAGGAGCCCTAAAGAAATCTTCTTTATATTGATTTCTCTATACACTATGTATGAAATAAGGAGGCCAAATCATGGAAGAAATATTAGCATGGAGGATGTATTAAAAGAATATATATGGTTTATCCAAGTGAAGATATATAATATTATTCATTTATCATTAATATATATAATTGGGATTATAACAATAATTAACTATTAATTATACATGCAGCTTAGGTGAAAGATATTATTTCCATTTATTATTGACAAAAGTAAAAGGAGCTACAAATTTCGAAAAACTTAAAACGGTGAATGGAATTACATATCCTACTTTTAAAGAAAGTGATTAACAAAAAGATTATCTATAGAATGATGATAAATATCAAATATGTATGATAGAAGCTAGGGAATTTTAGATGCCTAATCAGTTACGCATCCTATTTACAATGTTATTAGTCTTCGGAGATATTATAGATGTATGTCAATTGTGGAATGAGAATTTTAATGCAATAGCAGAGGATTTTGCATACGGAGAGATTCCAAAAGAACAACTTCAAATTCAGAAAGTTCTTCAAAACTTAAATACATTTTTGCAAAGACATGCAAAGACTATATCTAATTATGACCTACTGGAATTGTTGCCAGAAATCAATATTATAGAATTCCCACAAACACTTCTAGAGGAGTTATCTTATAGTATTATCCCAGAGGAACTCACTAAGTCTAATACATTGAATAGGACTCAACACATAATATTTGATAACATAATGGATCTCATAAGCAGGAATGAAAGGGAAGTGCTATTTGTAAATAGTCCTGCCAGAAGTGGAAAGACTTATTTATATAATTGCCTCATTGCCTATATATGAGCCAATCAAAAAATTGTATTAGCAGTAGTCTCTTTTGGCATCATTGCATTACTATTGTATGGTGGACGCACAGCACATTTTTGCTTTAAAATATCAATATTCATAATAGATGGAAATGCAACCCGCAATGTCAAGAAAGGAAGTGATCTTGCCCAATCGTTATAATAATAAAGCGCGATTCTCCGTAACTATAAAAATCTGAGAATTAAAGTTTGATATATATGCTAATATGTAATTTAAATTTTTTTTGGGGGTTTTGTTATTTTTTTCGGTTTTAATATTTTTTTTTCAGTTTTGCTTTTTTTTCTTTCGGGTTTTGTTTTTTCTTTCGGGTTTGCATTTTTTCTTTTGGGTTTTGCATTTTTTTCTTTCGGTTTTGTTTTTTCTTTCGGGTTTGCCTTTTTTTCTTTTGGGTTTTGCTTTTTTTTCTTTTGGTTTGTCTTTTTTTCTTTCGGAGTTTGCTTTTTTTTTCGGGTTTAATATATATTTTTTTTTTCGGTTTTGCTTTTTTTTCTTTCAGTTTTGCTTTTTTTTTTTCTGGTTTGCTTTTTTTTCTTTCGGGTTTGCTTTTTTTTCTTTCGGGTTTTGCTTTTTTTCTTTCGGGTTTAATATTTTTTCTTTCGAGTTTAATATATATATATATTTTTTTTCAGTTTTGTTTTTTTTTTTTCAGGATTTGCTTTTTTTTCTTTCGGGTTTAGTATTTTTTTTCAGGTTTGCTTTTTTTTTCTTTCGGGTTTGCCTTTTTTTTCTTTCGGATTTTGCTTCTTTTTTTTCTCGGGTTTTTCGGTTTTCGCACTTCACAAGCTGCCAGCCAGTCGTGCACCGGGTTAGATACCTCCCTAGACACCAGCAAGACTCAATATTGGCCAGATTACACCCAGTAAACCAGGCAATCTTACACACCAACACAAAGTCAGAAGGGTACCAAGACTTTCTCTCTACTGTAATTAAAAAAGAAAAACACAGATCCCAATATTGTTTGAAGATAAACAACAACCGTTACACGATCAAATCTTTACTGGAGACAAAAAACCAGAAACAGTTTACCTCCTCTCAAAGATCAACAGTAACGCAAACACGTACTCTTCAAACTAATCAACAATAACAATCACCAAACAAACAAACACAACCCAAAAACACAAACACGTGTATATAACAACTTCAAATTTTATCAAAGTTAGCTTACCTCAAAGCAAGATCTACAATAGTATGAACACGTTAACATTACAAATCAAGTAACAAAGTACAATTAGGGCTTATCAAAACAAGCAGATCACAAACCCCTTGGCAAAACATGTGATAGCCTCAACCCCATATATCAAAAAGATACGCTTATACTATACAACAAGCTGTTTTAAGCAAATCAACACATACCAAAACAAACAGCAAAGCAAATCAAATTACACATGTCAACCTAGCAAAAGTCCAAGACAATGGCTAACTCCAATA